CCAAACACACACATCCATCTCTGCCCTCAGCCCCACTGCATCAAGCCTCCCACAGCAACCAGCCAGCTTTTGCCCCACCTCTGGACTCCACTCTAGGGCTGTGCAGGAGAGGCACCCCACACGACTTGGAAATGGCCCTTGAAGGATACCTGAACACTCGCTTGCCATTTTGTGATAAATTGCTGCCATCACAGTGGTTCTTAATCCATGTACGCAGACGGAGCTGATGCTATGGAGAAATCTTAAAGGAGGAGGGAAGAAGGGCAGCTGCTGGGACTGAATAACCGTTTCTGATAATTTGACCTTTCAGGAGCCAAATTCATCCTACCAGTTAAGATGATTTGCTAAGACGTTCCACAGAGATTTCGGAATTGAGTTCATATTTCTGATCAGGCCTTCAAAGTGCTTCTGAGTTTACCACAGTCATTTCGAGCACCCTTTTAAGAGTGGGATTAGATGCCATTTAGAGGCAGCAGCCACCACCAGTGAGACCTGGAACTCAACATTCACTGAGCCAAAGTATGATCTGTTACGGAAGCCCCACGAGTCTTCTGCCAAAAGCAAATCTATTAAAACCAACCAACCACCTCTCTCACATTGATACCTCATTAAATTTCACCCCTTTTGGTCCTGCCAAGAATGCAGAGCTAATCTTGTCCACATATTTGGGGAGAAGACTCCACAGTGGCATGATACAGCGGCCCGGCTTGACCTCTCTTGGCCTGCTTTATTAACATTAAACCCTAAACTTCGGGCCTGCTTCATTGGTGGAGCCTCAAAGTTGCTAAAAGGATTGTCTTATACCACTGGAGGTAGTTTATGTTAGAGCTCCATGTTTTGCTAAGTGTGCGCAGAGAAGACCTTATATGGCTTCTTGGACCCCTTTTGTATTTTCTGTCACCACCTGGAATTTGAGACCAGTGTCTGGGCTGCAGTGGGCAAAACAGGGTGTGGGCCTGATTGACAGGAACAGTGCTAGAGACCTAGTCTTATATACCTTTACTCAGATGCAAATCCCACTGAGCTGAGGGCGAATTCTGAGGATGTCTTCTTGAATTACAGCTTACTTGACCTCTGGGTGGTCCACCATGGGACCAGTGTTCCCTCTAAGCCTAGTTAGTGTGAGCTAGCTCACAGTTTTATAGGCTCCGGCTCACACATTTTTGTTTTTGCTCAGGAAGGGATGGCTCCAGAGCAGACTAATTTATGCAGCAGCCAAATCACTCGCTCCCAACTTTAATGTCAGTAGCTCGCAAAGTAGAATCTTTGCTCACAAGACTCCACCGCTTAGAGGGAGCATTGCATGGGACTCACTATACAGTGAGCATGTGGCCCATGTCTACTGAACCATAGGAGGGATCAGCCCACCAAGGACAGCTCCATCATCACACAAGGAAACAAAGTTTGGCCTTGTTTGACCTTGCCAATTTGGTTTGTCAGGAGCACGGACTCTAATCCGGGAGAATCGGGTTTGATTCCCCACTCCTCCACATGCAGCTGCTGCTGTGACTTTGGGTCAGCCACAAGTTCTTTCAGAGCTGTTCTCTCAAGAGCAGTCCTCAAGAGAGCTCTCACAGGCCCCACCTACCTCACAGGGTCTGTTGTGGGAAGGGGAAGGAGACTGTAAGCCGCTCTGAGACTCTTTTGAGTAGTGAAGGGCGGGGGGGTATAAATCCAGTCTTCTTCTTGTGACACTGCCAGCTTTTAGGGGCTGCTGGCACACTAAGGCCAACTGTATTTTCTCACACGTGAAACTTACCGGGGCCATGCAAAGATGACAAAAGGGGCAGAGAGGATTCATCCAATACAGGCTTCGTGAATTTGCTAAGGGCTGCCTATTGGGGGACATGATGGCGGTGTAAAGACAACATGTACTTGTGTTGGGACTTGGGAGTGGTTTGGACAGTCCTCCTCTGTGCAGACCAGGGCTATTTTTGGGCAGGAACGCACAGGAACGGAGTTCCGGCTCGCTCTTGAGTTGGCCACGCCCAGCAGGAACTCATTAGCATAATAGGCCACACCCAACAGCAGAAACTCATTAGGATTGGCTACATTAGGGGTGTGTGGCCTGACATGCAAAGGAGTTCCTGCTACAAAAAAAGCCAATAAAGTAAACAGAACAACAAGCAAAAGGTGGGTGTGGCTGGATGACCACACTTTTGGTAACATGGGGGTGCAGCCTAATGGGCTAATGACCTGTGCTGTCAGGGGTGTGGCCTAATATGCTAATTAATGAGTTCCTGCTGTTGGGTGTGGCCTATTATGCTAACGAGGTCCTGCTGGGCTTTTTCTACAAAAAGAGCCCTGGTGCAGACAATGCTGCAAACTGGATGTTCAAACTGCTTTCACCCCTCTTTAGAACACCCGATTCCCTCTTAAGATATCACCCCGCTGGTATCCCGTTCCCCCCAATGGCAACAAACTATGGACATACAAACAATAGAAAGAAAATTTATTTCAACCAGTTTTGGAAAAATCAAGAAGACGAATTCTCGGCCTGGCCCGAGCAAGATGTGGGGGAATGCATTTTGTGCTGTTCAGTAGAGGGAGAGACAGGTGACTTCTCCGAAGCAAGAGGAACGGGTACGGAGATCGGGGGTGTTGCGACGGTAGCCATAGCGCCCGTTGAACCCTCTGATAGGCTTTGCGTCGGACAGGTACAAATGGTGGCCAGCCACTTGTTGTAGAGAGTGACCTGCACAGAAGGGGACAAATCTAAAGAGAGCAGCCGCGCCACCATGGGAAAGGACACAGTCGTTAAGGACGGCTCTAGCACTCCTCACCTGCTCCTGACCAATTCCTCCTGTTCAAGTACCTCTGGCCTGGCCCATAAATATGGAAATAATCCACTATCCAGCCATCCCTGGAAGTCCCTCCACGGGTCTGTAACCACCAAAAAGGGGGGGGGAGAGAACAAAACTTAGCCACAGCACTGTGCTATTTGTTGTTGTTGTTGCACAGTCGAGTCCGACTCTTCGCGACCCCGTGGACCAGATCCCGCCAGGCCTTCCGATCTTCCGCCGTCCTCTGAAGTTGGCTCAACTTCATGTTCGTTGCATCTATGACACTGCCTAACCATCTCATCCTTTGCCGTCCCCGTCTTCTTTGACCTTCCATCTTTCCCAGCATCAGGGTCTGTGCTATACAGAACTCCATTAGACAGTTCCCATCTTCAGTATTTGTTAGTGGAATACATAATTCCCCTCTTTTCTCGCATCACAGAGGCGATGCAACAGACAGTCTGTTGTGAGATCATAAAGGGCAGCTGTGGTTATCAAGCCGTGAAGACCAAAACGTTCTAAGGAGCCAGGGATGCCTCGTATTCAGGGGGACGGGTAGAGAAATGAGATGATGCATTCTAGGGTGGCTGTCTGAACGGATTCGCGGGTCCTGCCCACCTAAAAGCTGGGCTCAGTCCTTCAGTGAGTGTACCCACTAGCTCTTCACCATTGCTCCAAGAAGGCTCCAGGGATGTCTGACTGGCATCGTGACGACTGTCAAAGGCTTGCCACTGAGACCAAACTTTTTCTAAACCAGGCAGGAAATAAATGCTGGCGATCCTAGATTCCTCCCCCTTTCAATTTATTTTCTGTAGATTTTATTTTGAATGGATTATAACTTTTCAGGTTAGATGCTATCGAGGCAGTTTAAAAGCAGCAGAAAAATTAGAAGCAAGGATATTTTTGGCAGAAGAATATACTTTTGATACTAACGAAAAGATTAGTAATTCTCCCATCTCTGTCTGTCTGTCCTGATCTAGTCTTGAGCAGAAAATAAAATAATAAAATAAAAATGCCTTACTTGATATTCTTCTGTAAGTTTTTATTGAAAAACTTCAACAAAAATAGTTACTGCACACGCACACTTTGACAAGGGAGAACGTTTTTGCAGATGCTCATGGTAGAGATGTAAAATTTACGGCAATTTTGAAGCCGCAGAATTTTTTCCCCCTTTCCCTTCCAAGAAAAATAACAGAAATTTTGGGGAAAATTGAAATATATGTAATACGTACTGTCCTATTTTGAGAAAAATTGAAATATATGCAATACATACTATCCTATCGAACCTAAACTACTTTTATGGCCTTAACAACATAAAATGCATCATTTATAATTTATTTAGCATATAATATTGCAGTATTTGACATACTCATGGTATTCAAAAGTTATAAATTCCTTAGTTTTCTAAGAACAAAATTGCAAATACCCAGTAAATGAGAAAAAGACTGCAAACTGATGCACCTTACACTGTCTTAGCGTACCTTAATTTCTGCTATCTAGTTGGAGCAAAGCTCTCAATTAAAGTTTGTTTTCCTCTGAGGTTTTGGGGCAATTTTTGCCCCACCTCCTCCTGATCTTTTTCTCTCCATTCTGCAAGGTAGTGCAATTAGGTATTTTTTTACCCAGTCTGTGGGTAAATGTTTCACAGAGGTTTGAGGGAGAACTGAAAAGATCAACCACATCAGGACAACAGAAGACATGCAACTGCCGAGATGCAATAAAAACGCTACACGCTTCCCCTCCTAAAGATCAGGTATCCTTCTAGGTGCAGAAATGCACCTTGGATTTAAGAGCTGTATCATGTCTACAGCATGCTCCCCTTGCCATTAAGAGCATTTCAGTCTTTCTAAAGGAGAAAATATTTCATAGATTTTTTTCAGTACTCCCCCCAAATTCATTTTTTTCATTGTAAAAATTGAAAAGCCCCCAGGGAAAAAAAACTTCCTTCCCCCATTGTTTTTTTTCCTGAGCTTCGCTTCTCTAGTTCATGGGTGTGCAACGCTTCGTATGCTTGGCTAAGACCTGAAATACCAACAGATTTCTAGGGGCAAGGCAGGAACTCCTGGAAGACTCCTTCTTGTAAGTTAAATTTGCAGGGTGTCGGGCGCACCTGATGTCAAGAACTGTCACGGTCGCTCATCGATTATTGTATGCCAGCTAGAATTCAAGCAGCATCAATCACTGCCAACCACAAAGGTTCATTAGGATGGTTTGAGGCTGGGTGGAACTAAGGCAGTCCCTAGACTGCCAGTAACAATCTTCGATGAATAATTGTTTTAAAGGTGAACAAAATTTAAGTCTGGTAGCACCTTAAGGACCAGATTTTTTTTCCAGTGTATAATACAAGCTTTCGTGAGCTCTGACTCACAAAAGCTTATACCCTGGGAAATTTTGTTGGCCTTTTAAGCCCTGCTCGAAAGCCAGTCGAATCAGACTCTAGGGTTGCGGTGCTCATCTCCGTTTCAAAGCCGAAGAGCCAGCGCTGTCCAAAGACATTTCCGTGGTCATGTGGCCGGCATGACTAAACACCAAGGCGCACGGAACGCTGTTCCCTTCCCACCGAAGTGGTCCCTATTTATCTACTTGCAATGTCTTGCTTTCGAACTGCTCGGTTGGCAGGAGCTGGAACTAGAGACGGGAGCTCACTCCGTCATGCGGCAACTTGGGTCTCGAACTGCTGAACTACCGACCTCCCACAGCCTGCAGTTCAGCGTCTTAACCACTTGAGCATGCTGGACTCAAATTTCATTCTCCTGCTACAGACTAACACGCTGACCCACCAGAAAGTGGCTTATTAGGAAGACCTACACAAAGATGTCTTACACGGAGTGGCTCTCCAAGGTCTCACATCACCCCCTGCCTGGGCCCTTTTTAAGTGATATGCGGGGGTTGAACCTGGGACCTTCCGCAGGACAGCCAGAGGCCCCTGCACCAAGCCTCCAGAAGGACTCAGTGGTAGATCCCAGCGGCAGATCTCTGCAGTGATCCAGCCCAAGGGGTTTTCCTACCCCAGCCTCCCGATGCCCTTACCTGGTCTGTTTTTCTCAACACTGACTTGACCATTGGGGATGAGAAGTAGCTGGCAGAATGCATGTCCAGTTGAGCATTATAAGGAGGCAGTGCCGACCAGAGTTTAGGGAGGATGTTGTTATAGCTGCTGCCAATGGTGTCCACTGCCACCCCGTCCAGAATGAACTCCTTCTGCCTCTGAAGGCATCGCCGTGTCACACAAGCCATGTTGGGCAGAGACAAGAGAGATTCACCCACCCCAGTGACACCTGCCTTCCTCCCACACCCCCCGCGTCTCCTTGGCAACTATCATTACCACCTTACTACATAATCGGGCTCTGTGATGCCATCAGAGAAGACACTGGCTCCCGTGGCCAAGGGATGATGGTGATGCATTCCGTCTCTTGTCATCCAGACAGACAGATCCTTCCAAACATTGGCATGGTAGATCTTGCTAAAAGGGGATAAAATAATCCTTTCACCCTATTCTGCTTTGAATGTATGACAGTGATGTGGCATATCGGTATCTTAAGTAGATCTCAGGTGTGCAAAAACACCCACAACAAACCTCAGGTTCTTTCTCATTGCCGCCACATGAGCAACAAACAAAATCCACGGGGGTTGGGAGACATAGGTTCCATTCCCCTCTCCACTGAGGACACTCAGGCAGCCTTTAAAAAAAATCTAACACAGGACACAAGAAAGATGAATACAGAATTCATGGCTGAATGTCAGAACCCACAGCCCACAACGAAGTACACGCATTCAGGAACGGTTATACTTTTATTGCAAAGCTATAGATGCAGTAACACAGGCACTGTTAGGAATGGTGGCAATCAATAGAACCAAATAGGATATAGGGTATTCGTATGCACCCCCCCCCCCATGGCATGGGCCAATAAGGTACCCTCCCGCGCACGGGCTGAGTTAGGACACTGTTAGGTGGTGAAAGCTGAGAACCAGGATTCTCTCACGGAAGGTGAGAGACCTCAAGACTATACAACGTCCTCCTGCACATCTGTAGAGATAAGCCTTACAGCCAAGGGAGAGCGAAAGGGAAAGGAATGCAACAGCAATTAACAAGACACAGAATAACCTCCCCACCCCCATGGCAGCATAGCTGACACTGAGCCCTATAAATATTCCTGTGCTTTTAAGAAAGCCAATTGCTTCCTCCTCTTTTTGCCATTCTTGGCGGCACTCGTGACTCCCTTATGTATTTGGTTATCCACTTTTTTTTCAATTCAATTCAATTTATTACAGGTCTATATGACCGAAGTCTTGACCAAGAGGATACCAAAGGGGGATAAAATACGTACATAAAATAGACATAAATGTGCCACTTTTTTATAAACACCACATGCGGGAAGCACACAGACCAATGCACTCTCAGCTCAGCAATTCACCACGCCAGCTTTGCTGGAAGATGAACTAGAAGCTGCAACAGAAGAAAAGATAGTCCACACAGTGGCTCTATTAGAGATGCCATTATGTTGATGCAAGGGTACAATCCACACAATGTGCAATTGGCAGAGAATGAAGTAGAGCTTTTTGGAACCATTGTTATGAATTACAAACTCAGTTTGCCTTTTATTTATGAATCCAGTGCAACTAATTTCAGAGATGAAGACAGAATGCGATGACCCAACCCTTATTTTGAAGAAGGGTAAAATAAGAGATTGGATTTATACCCCCACCCTTCACTCAGAGCGTTTTACAGTCACCTTCCCTCCCCCTCCCCACAACAGATGTAGTGGATGGGGAGACTGTGCAGAATTTCTTGAACATCAATGCAGTAGAGGAAAACTGAAGCCAAATAAAATCCCAAAGTGGAATAGTCATAATAGTGAGCAATGGCAACACCCCTTTTGCCCTACAGAGCTCTTTAACTACAGTCACAATTAACTTGCCTTTAACCCTCCATGACCCTATTTTGGTACAAAGGAAATGAAAAAGAGTATTATACACCCAGGGATTTCTCCACTGACCCCAATTCTGTACGCGGCATTAGGGTCTTGAACTGCCGAGCGACAGACCTTCCAGTCTGCAGCGCAGTGTCTTAACCTCTAAGCACTGCAGTTAGGAGACAGTAAACAGACAGTAAAAATTGCTGGAGAGGTTGCGGTGAACTAGGGACGTTTATTCATATGTGGTGGTTTTGTCCAGTTACAGCACATTTTTGGAAATATTTGCAGAGATTGCGAAAATAACCTGGGAACAAATACTATTGAACTAGCCCCGCTCAACATATTTATCAATGAAAATTCGCAATGTAAACAAAAAACACTTATAAACTTCCTTTTGGTCACAGCTAGGATGCTTATTGCTCAATGTTGGCAGTATCTTAAAATCCTCGGATAGGTGACTCACTAAATGAAGGAATATAGAGGTTCTGAAAAATTAACAAATAAGATTAGATTAATTCGGGGGAGGAAAAAAGAGATGATTTTAAGATAATTTGGACTAGTTTTATAATTTATTTAATGGAATTCCCAGACTACAGCTCAAAGAATTTTCTTTAATGGATGGAGACCCTTACCTGAAAATCTGAGCAAGGCATTGAATAGTTAAATTACAGGATACTATTTCTCAGAAATTGAATAAATGAAAATTATGTAAAATCTCAGCCAACTTCGATGGAAGCACCCCCCTCACTCCCCTTTCTTCCTTTTAATCTATTCATGATGTTTCTTGTATTGGTTTATATATTTTCTTTGTTTTGTTTTCTTTGGTTGGAAAATCACCATAACATGATGGTATCATCTCTTATATGAGGATAGCAGACGGTTTTGTTTTGTTAAGTTCTGTTGTTGGCATTTGCTTTGTGTGTGTAAATATATATATATATTTTTAAAAGAACTACAGTCACCAATCTTCTTAAACCTTGGGGCTCTCTGGCAAGTTTTTCCAGACAATGTTTCAAATTACATCCCTTGTTGTCAAACCAATATCCCACTCTACACCAGTCCACTTTTCTTTGTTACAAGATGACTGAATTACCATATGAGCCTGCAGGTCTGGTACAACCACTTTTATTGGATTTTTGCAAAGACCACACAATGATTTCATGCAATGCTGCCAGCATTGGAGGCGATCCTCGGCCACAGATCTGCACACTCCTTGGCGACAGGGCCTGTGATAGCAGAACCTGGAAGAAAGGATTGCAAATACCCACTGTTAAGGGCTGGCAAGGAATTGCCCCATAAAACGACAATTCCCAAGGCGTTTTTGTTGACACTACCACAAGTTTAACGTTTTCAAGGTAGACTTCACCAGAAAGTGCCATCTCAACAGCCTTAACCATACCTTTCATTTCCCCTTTGTTGTTGACTATCACTCCTGCGTTGTCTTCAAAATACAAGAACACCCCGTCTTTTCTCCTATACGATTTCCTTTGTCGGATCACTACAGCTGGATGAACTGCAGGAAAAGAGAAATCCAGAATCCGCAATGACCGAAGAATAATAAGCAAAACTTAAAAGCACCAACTTCTACAGGGATCAATGGAGACAGGGACTAGAAATGGCTCTCCAATTTCAAGAATTCTACTAAAATCTAATCCAGGAGCAATCCAGGAATGTTTCATCGCAGCAGAAAAGTTAAGTGGAGAATTTTTGCCACTGGCATTCCAAAAGAAGTTCTGTGAAAACTTGAAATCCTGCCTAGTTCTAAGCCAGTGGCAGAAAATCACTCACTCAGTGCCAGGGTCAAGTCCTGACCGGTGTTCCCTCTAAGCTGAGTTAGTGTGAGCCAGCTCACAGTTTTTTAGCCTCCAGCTCACACATTTTTGTCTTATCTCAGGGAGGATGGCTTCAGAGCAAACGAATTTACGCAGTAGCCAAATCACTCACTCACAACTTTAATGCTTGTAGCTCACAAAGTAGAATTCTTGCTCACAAGACACCATGGCTTAGAGGGAGCATTGGTCCTGACCCCTCTCGAGTAAGTACTGCTTGGAAGAAAGGCCAGGAGGAAAGGCCAAAACAGGATGCCCCTTCTAAAATGGGGAACTGTTTATAAATATCAGCCACACAGTTCTGTGAAGCCCTGGTGCTGCCTCCATGTAAGCCGCCCTGAGCCTGCATTGCGGGGAGGGCGGGGAATAAATTGAATAAAATAAATAAATAAAACTGAAGGCTGGTGTACCCAGGAGAAGCCCCAGGCAGCCCTTGCGAATGGCAGAGGGCCTAGAAGTTGGGGGCGCTCAGTTGGCACAGACTGGTCTGAAATAACCGGCCCTGCACTTGATTCAAAGTCTTTAGTCAGGTTAGAAAAATAAATATGAAAAGTTTTTGGATTCTTCTGTATTAAAAAATCAGTTCCACTAAGCACCCGTTAGAAATAATTTAGTTTAAAATGGTAACTGAACATAATCCAAACATACCATAGTCTCAACAAACTGAATCTATGATATACTACTAAACACATCAAAGTAGGTGGGGAATACATAAATGTCAAGATCCAGCATTACGCAAGTGAGAGAATAAACCATACATTAGGTTTGTGATTTGCCATTTAGTTGACATTTGAACGGTATCAAACAGCACAGACATTTTACTTTCCATATAACAGAGGAACACCATGCTGAGGACTTAAGTCTTCAAGTGAGCCCTCTTGCTTCGCAGACTCAAGAGCATACAGAAAGAGCTAGAAAAGAATCCTGAAGTTCCCCAACTGCTCTTTGAGAAAGGCTAAAAACTCAGTGGGGCAAAATGCTGCACAACCTGTGGCTTTGGATTATGCTCCTGGGAGTTTGCCTCTTCAGGAAATGAAAGACTTGTAAAACTGAACCCATGATTCTCCAAGGCCAAGTCAGAAGCCACATTTTGCCACTTTGACTATAATGACAAACTAGGACTTATCACAAAACAGGGAGGTGTGGGAGCAACAGCTCAGGCATTGCCAAGGCTCTTGTTCAAACAACACTAAACCTTAGTTTGGACGCCGTGCCTGAACCAGCCCAAGCCTCTCAGAGCAGCCAACACCAGAAGTGAGCTCCCAATCCACAAATGCAGCTTCTTGTGCCAACTCACCCTTTTTCCGGAGTTCTGGCTTGCCTTTTTTGACCGTGGCCATCACCATATCGCCCACGCCAGCAGCTGGTAGCCTGTTCAGACGTCCCTTAATCCCTTTGACAGAGATGATGTACAGATTCTTGGCCCCTAGGAAGGAAAGGATGCACCAGGTTACTGGCCCTCAATGTGCCAGAGCCTCCTTCTTAGGACACCTGTAGCACCACCGATTGAGGTTCAACAGCACAAGCTGCCACCTCACCCAAAAGCAGTGCCTGTTATTCTGCCCTTCCACGACATCTCCCTGGGCCACGAGGAACCAGACCCAGCAAGTGCTTTTCAGAAGGGGAAACCCACCGATCTGGGCCACGGTGTGTTCCTTGAGTATTACTGTTGGTGCCAGAACGGACTTATCAGAGCTGTTCCTTCTACCAGAATCAGAACTAGAAGGCAGCAAGGCAAGAGAATCCTTCCCCCGTGTCTCTGAGCAGGATCAGCGTCACGGAGAGCCCCGGAGAATCCAGGTCACGGGGTGCCGCTACGCCACACAACGAAACGCAGCTCCATCAGCCTCCCAAAACTCAGAGGAGGCCTAACATTAGTAACTAGGGCCCCAACTCTGCTCAAACGAGACATACCTGTGTTATCTGCGCAGTTGATCACCGCTCCAACGGGGAGACCGAGCGAGATGCGGAATTTCGCACCAGACGAACCGCCACGTCCTGCGGGCCACAAGGTTCAGAGGAAAGCACAGACTGTCCATTAAGGGCGCCTAAGAATTCTGCAAAGTCAGTGGCACTTTTAAAACCAACCAAGTTTCGCTCCGGGTATAAGCGTGTGTGTCCACGGACACCTCTTTGGATGCCGGGTGGAAGTGTGGGCGCCCACAGATGCTGATACCATGGATAGAAACTTCGTCCGTCTGGAAGGTGGCCCACTGGACTCCCGACTTTGTTCTGCGGCTCCAGACCAACACGGGGACCCCCACCTGAGTCTAAGGATTCTGCAGCATCTGGACCTTATCAGAACCCAACTAGCAGAGGACCACAGCGAAGCCGAGGCCGGTCCCAACCGGGGAGAAAGGGGGGGGGGACTCCAAACCAGCGTTCCCTCTAAGCTGAGTTAGTGTGAGCTAGCTCACAGTTCTTTAACCTCCGGCTCACACATTTTTGTCCTGGCTCAGGAAGGAGGGCTCCAGAGCAAACTAATTTATGCAGTAGCCAAATTGCTCGCTCACCACTTCAATGCCAGGAACTCACTAAGTAGAATTTTTGCTCACCGGACTCCACAGATTAGAGGGAACATTGCTCCAAGCGGTACTCTCCCTTCATTAATTCATAAATTGTTTTCGGGTCGCCGACTCTACAGGACTGCTGTGTGGGTTTTCTCAAACTGGCTTGTGCAAACACAACCGGGGACAGAGCGCGACGTCCCCTCTAAGCTGCGGAGTCTTGTGAGCAAAAATCCTACTTTGTGAGCTACTGGCATTAAAGTGGTGAGCGAGCCATTTGGCTGCTGCATAAAGTAGTTTGCTCTGGAGCCCCATCCTTCCTGAGCGAAGACAGAAATCTGTGAGCTGGGGGCTAAAAACCTGTGAGCTAGCTCACACTAACTCAGCTTAGAGGGAACACTGCTAAAGACCCGTGTTTGAGTCCAGTGGCACCTTTTAAGGCCAACAACGTTTAATCCTGGGCATAAGCTATAAGGTTTCGTGTGCATGCACACTTCTTCAGAGAGGAAAGCTTAGACCCAGAATTAAACTTTAGTGGTCTTAAAGGTGCCTATTTTGGACTCAAACCTTGTTCTCTTGCTTCAGACCAACACGGATATCTTAAGAACCGTCGTTGGGACTTTAATAATAATCCATTCATTAACTTTATCTTCAGTGAGGACCCCAAGTGGCTGACAAGGCCTCCAGGCGGCCCCCGACCCGGCCCCCGGCCGCGACCCTCGCCGGGCGAGGCGGATGGAGGCGGATGGAGGCGGGCCCCCTCCCTCCCCGGGACTCACCTCGCTTCGACATCTTGGACGCCGAGGGCGGAAAAGGGAGGCGTAGAGGCTGCCGGGACGGTTTCTACTTCCGCTCCTCCCGCGCCACGTGATCGGGGGAGCCGGGCGGGCGCCGCCACAGCGCCGCCTACAGGTCGCATTCTATCATACACTATATAAATCCTTTACGGTGTATCAAATTGTTTCTTTTGGGGTTTCGTACACGGTGGTTCCCTTTGTTCGAATTGGCCATCTGCAAAGCAGTCCTTGCGGTGGTGTTCCCAGTATTTTTGCATCTCGTTGAAAATGTTTATCAAGTTCTGGAGCGGATGGGAAAGCAAATGAAGACAGTGGACCCGGGAGGGGCTGTGTGGCTCAGTGGTTAGACCATCCGCTTGCCCTGCAGAAGGTCTCGGGTCCAGTCCCCAGCGTCTCTCGTTAAAAAGGATCAGGTAGAACAGAATGTGAGTCCAGCGGCACCTATGAGACCAACAGAGTTTAATTCTGGGTATCAGCGTTCATGTCCGTGCACACTTCTTTAGCTATCAGAAATGTGCAGCAGCATGCACACGAAAGCTGCTGCCCAGAATTAAACTCGGTCGGTCTCCCAGGGGGCCCCCTCCGGACTCGGACTTTGGCTCCTTCCTTTAAATGACCCGCAAAACAGAAACCAAACAAGAGGCCCGAATGGGGTTTATGGGGGTATCTGGAATGGGTCCATATATGGAACCCTAAAGACACGCGCGCCCTTGGGCATGAGCAGACGCCGCCTTTCTCGTCCCCCGGTGCAAAAAGCGAGCAAGATGCGCCGCGGCGTCGCTTCCCTTTGCAGTTCGGGGAGGCCTTCTGGCCGTCGATGGCGCTTCGCTTCTTACACTGAAAGCACCACTCGGAGAAGCGTTTTCGCAAGAGGGGGTATAGCTCAGTGGTAGAGCATTTGACTGCAGATCAAGAGGTCCCTGGTTCAAATCCGGGTGCCCCCTTCAGAGATTTTTTTCTTCCCCCCTGCTCCCGTTTTAAACCAGTTTTTTTTTTTAAAAATTAAACTGCAGAAAACAAAAGCTTTGGAATGCATTGAGCGAGCGAAGTGGGAAGTTCCCCTAGAGGAACGTTGAGAAGGCTCCAGTGCGCAAAACGCACCCAGCACAGGTTGGCTCAGGGCTCTCTATTCAAGAGCGCTTGTCTGCCCAGGAAATAAGGTGGCTTGCGGGGCACACAGTGGTTTCACAAACTTGCCTCTGCTATGCAAAATGTGGGTTTTTTTTCTTTCCTCTCTCTCTCTTGCATCCGGATGGAAGTGAATTCTTAAATTGTTTTTATGTATTTTATATATTGTAACTTTTTTTTTTTAACAACAATTTTTATTTGGATATAACATCAAGTCAACCAATATTTCATTTTCACATTCAACTTCTGTTCAGCACTAAAAAAACCTTATACTTTATGTTTTAAACCCTCTTACATCCTCCTCCCTCCCCTTTCTCTCCCCTATATATATGGCTTCCCACAGTGCTTCGACCTCCTGCGCATCTTAACTTCTAAAATTAATCTTCCATTTAATATTTCTTATACTTCACTAGGTAACATTTATATTTATTCTCACTTTCCAACTCCTCCTCCATTATAGTTTATATAATGGTTCTGTTTTTTATAGTTATCAAAACTAAATAAAATATCTTTTGCATCTCCAGTTTTTTCTAAATAGTCTTTTAAGTCTTTCCAGTCTCTGTAAAAGTCTTCAGCTTCTCGATTATTCCATTTCCTTGTCATTTATATATTGTAACTTATATGCACTTTGTGTGCCCCCGTGTAAGCCGCCCTGAGCTCGCTTGCGGGAAGGGCGGGGTATAAATGTAATGAAAATAAATAAATAAATAAATAAATGATTGAGGACTGTGTTGGGGATGCCAGCTCCCAGAGATCAGTTCCCCTTAGGGTTGCCAGCCTCCAGGTGGGGCCTGGGGATCTCCCACTTTTACCACTGATCTCCAGCTGACAGAGATCAGCTCCCCTGGAGGAAATGGCTACTTTGAAGGGTGGACTCTGTGGCACTGAACCATGCTGAGGCCCCTCCCCTCCCCAAACCCCGCCCTCTCCTGGATCCACCCCCAAAGTCTCCAGGTATTTTCCAGCCCAGACCTGGCAACCCTAGTTCCCCTGGAGAAAATGGCTGCTTTGGAGGGTGGGCTCTGTGGCACTGTACCCCACCGAGGTGTCCGTCTTCCCCAGGTGCCACCTCCACATCTCCAGGAATTTCCCGACCTGGATCTGGCAACCGTACCCCACCCCCGCTGGTTGCCTGGGGGGCGGGCGGGAACCTGGCAACCCTAAATCCTGTGGTCAGTACTCAGACTCAGTGTCCCCTCTAAGCTGAGTTAATGTGAGCTAGCTCATAGTTTTTTAGCCTCCGGCTCACACATTTCCGTCTTAGCTCAGGAAGGAGGGCTCCAGAGCAAACTGATTTGTGCAGCAACCAACTCACTCGCTCACAGCTTTAATGCCAGTAGCTCGCAAAGTAGAATTTTTGCTCACAAGACTCCACAGCTTAGAGGGGACATTGGTCACCATGTCGGTCTGAAGCCGCAGAACTTTTGATTCCAGCAGCACCTTTAAGACCAACAAAGTTTTATTCTGGGTATAAGCTTTTGTCCTAAAAGAAATCAACCCGGACTGTTCCCTGGAAGGCCAAGATACTGAAGCTGAAGCTCAAATACTTTGGCCACCCAATGAGAAGGGAGCCCTCCCTGGAGAAGAAGACCCTGATGCTGGGAAAGATTGAAGGTCAAAGAAGACGGGGACAGCAAAGGATGAGATGGTTAGACTGTGTCATAGATGCAACGAACATGAAATTCCGAGGACGACGGAAGACCGGAAGGCCTGGCGTGATCTGGTCCATGGGGTTGCAAAGAGTCGGACTCAACTGGGCGACTGAACAACAACAACCACCTAGTGTTGATTGGAGGGGCGTGGCAAATGATTGACGGGGCCCAGTCCCCTTTTGCACCACCGTGGCTATGGGCCTGGTCATGTGAATCCCTGTGCTAAGCTTCAGCTCTTTCTGGAGGTTCCAGACTTCTCAAATCCTAAGGCATTGCTTATTGAATGTCCCACCTTAGTGACTGTGCTGGCTTACTCTGTGTCATCTGCATTGGGTCCCTGCGAGAAAGGCAGATTATAAGTAACGTAAATAATAAAATAAATGGAATACAGGGATCAGTGCTCTGTGATACGATCTTATTTGCCGGCATCCAAAGCAATTTTCACTCAGCTTCAGGTTCTGTGGTCACCGTCTACCAGTTAGAAAACCCCTGCAAGTAATTTCACCTTCACCCATTGCTCTCGCTGCCTTTGTTTCCTTTAAATGGCGGTTGGGGGAAGGAATGCTTAGAAATCCAACCAGTGAAGCATCGCTATGGAGGAAAGGGTTATGCTGGATGAATACCTGTTGTCAGGACAGGAGCCAGTGTTCCCTCCAAGCTGAGTTAGTGTGAGCTAGCTCACAGTTTTTTAGCCTCCGGCTCACACATTTTTGTCTCCGCTCAGGAAGGAGCAAACTAATCTATGCAGGAGCCAAATCACTCGCTCACACCTTTAATGCCAGGAGCTCACAAAGTAGAACTTTTGCTCACAGGACTCTACAGCTTAGAGGGAGCATTGGACAGGTGCGGTAATATAGCCAAGCTATACCTGGGTTTGGTCTCAGAAACTCCTCGAGTGACACACACCACAAAGCAAAATAGAGCTTTACAAGAGGCGGGACCTGCGATAGTCGCGGGGGGGGGGGGAGCTCCACGCAGAGCAGGTGGAGGAGGAAGCAGCAGGTAGCGCGTCTCCCCCCCCCCCCCGCTCCGAAGCGAGGCAGGTCGCAGAGCGCTCCCTGTGCATGCGCAGGGGACGCTCTGTTACTTTTTTGGGATTTAAATATCCCCCGCCCCCGATATTTTTTTCAACTTTTTAGATTTTTGTGCACATTTGGGGATCGCCCCAATTGTGCAGGAAACTCTCCCTGCCCCCCAGGTGCCCCCGATGTGCGGACTTAGATATCCACATACAGGGGGGGCGCCTTCGCTATTAGAATATAAGATTGAAGAAATTCAAGAAGGTTTAAAAACAAGTTCAGTGGCAGTAAAATGCACAGGAAAACAAGAAAGTTAACTAGCTACTTCTTACTGGAGTCCTAACTCAGCATGGTTGGTTCTGAAAGCAAAAAGTCCTTGAACATAATACAGATGTCTTCTTGGCAGCGCCAGAGAGGAAAGGGTAAGGCTTAAAGGTAACACTTCTGACTGACTGCTTTTATAGAATGCTGTGGGCCATGGCCGCCTGAGCTCCTCCGGTGATGCGTGAATGAGGAATCGCATCCATCTCTTGACATTTCAAACAGGTGGATGCCTGCTGGAGGAGGGGGGGGTGACCTCGTTACTTGACAGGCAGATAGGGTCAAGGCTCCCTCTAAGATGTGGAGTCCTGTGAGCAAAAATTCTACTTTGTGAGTTACTGGCATGAAAGTGGCGAGCGAGCGATTTGGCTGCTGCACAAAGTAGTTTGCTCTGGAATCCTCCTTCCTGAGCTAAGACAAAAATGTGTGAGCCAGAGGCTAAGAAACTGTGAGCTAGCTCACACTAACTCAGCTTAGAGGGAACGCTGCTACGGAGCCCTCCTTCCTGAGCTGAGACAAAAATGTGTGAGCCGGAGGCTAAGAAACTGTGAGCCAGCTCACACGAACTCACCTTAGAGGGAACACTGCATGGTGTGTGTGTGTGTGTGTGCAGATTGTCGTCTGGATTAACAAGGAGTTCGGGGTCCAGCTCAGCATCAGTTCTGCAAACGCACCACCTTCAGCCCCCTTCGGGATTGCCGAGGTGGGGGTGGGGGGAAGCAGTCCACGCCCCTCAGTGGAAGGATCCATAAAATACAAGTCCAGTCTGTGTACGACGGCTGCCAGGTCCCACTCTGGCCACCGGTGGGGGATGGGGGGTAAGGTGGCCAGCCCCCGGTGGGGAAACTCCTGGAGACTTGGGGGTGGCACCTGGGCAGGACAGGGACTGCAGTGGGGTAGAACCCCACAGAGTCCAGCCTCCAAAGCAATGTTCCCTCTAAGCTGTGGAGTCTTGTGAGCAAAATTGCTGCTTTGTGAGCTCCTGGCATTAAAGTTGTGAGCGAGCAATTTGGCTGCTGCATAAATTAGTTTGCTCCGGAGCCCTCCTTCCTGAGCTAAGGCATAAGTGTGTGAGCCAGAGGCTAAAAAACTGTGAGCCGGCTCACACTAACTCAGCTCAGAGGGAACACTGCTCCAAAGCATCCACTTTCTCCAAGGGAGATCTGAGCTGTGCTGAGTGGAAGCAATGCCTGTCTCTTAGGACTTGCCCGTGTGCGTCAGGTATGCTTGTCCGAGTGCTGTGGCACAAGAAAGTGGGCGACTACCCTAGCCCACGGGATCCTTGCCAATTGAACACCCTTTCCTACTCACTGGCCGGGGGATTTCAAATCCCTGACTCCTTCGTGTGCAATGTTCTTTGCAGCCATTTACAAAGAGGGAGTGTATGCAGTTACACAGACACTTGTCTCATTTGTTCGTCAAGCGTCCAAGCACAGCATTGGGAAGACAAGACCACTTACTTTCCTTAGCTGCAGCGTTTCACGTTCATGTGGCTGGCGTGTGGGGAATGTGGCACTGCAAGTCTAAGGGGTCATTTCCTGCAGGAGCGCACAGGAGCGGAGCTCTGGCAGTAAAGAGCCCAGGGGGCGGGCACATGCAACAAGCCCCTCCCTCTGCTCCCAGCAGCCCTCAGTCAGAGCAAGAAGCAGCCAGGTGAGTTGCAGAACTCCCCCCCCCAGACCAAAACAGTCCAGTAGTACCTTTAAGACCAAGTTTTATTTAGGTACAAGCTCTCCCTCCTCTGCGAGGGCAGATCTGCACGTTCCTCCCCCCCCCCAATAGCTAGCAATCCAAAACAGTCCAGTGGAGCCTGAGCGGTGGGTGTTGCCTTCTGACACACTTCCAGTGATGCCAGGGGGTGTGGCATATGCAAATAAGTTGTGCTAATAAGTTATGCTAATAAGCTCCTGCACCTCTTTTTCTACGAAATGACCCCTGGGCTAAACCATAACATATGAGGTTAACCACACAGTATTAACCACTGCAATAGATGTCCCAGGCAGGGGTCATTTCCTGCAGGAGCGCACAGGAGCGGAGCTCCGGCAGTAAAGAGCCCAGGGGGCGGGAACATGCAACAAACCCCACCCCCTGCTCCCAGCAGCCCTCAGTCAGAACAAGAAGC